ACACAAAAAATAAAAATAAAAAAAAAACACACATCAAAATCAATACATTCATCGTTATACTCAGAATCTAAAAAAGATAACAAAGTATATATGTATTAATCTATTTTTACGATTTTTTTTTATCTCAAAACTGCACTCAATATGTACAAAAAGCCTTGTATTTTTTAAATAAAAGTTTTCTAAATCTAGAACTTTACCTATACCCATTTTCAAAAGAGAACATACCGGTGGGCGACCAATTTATGTCCGGTGGCGAGCATCCCCACCAATTTTCCATTGTTAGCGTGATCACGTGATTGTCAACTCAATAATCGAATCATTGGACATGCGGGAAAGCGATATGTTCTCTTTTGAAAACGGTCATAGTTATAAAAATAAAACATTCATCACAATTTTGTAATATTAAATCCCAATTATTATACTTTAAGGAGGTATTATTTTGAGAATGAAAAACAATTTATTAATCTTAATATTTTTTTAAAAAAATTTTAAAGTATATGAATATTGAGTGTTATTAAACATCTTAGATTCAATTAGACGTAGATCATTCTTTAAAATAGTTAATTTAAATCTTAGAAAATCTCACAGAGTATCCATTCACACTGTGTAAGGTTAAAAAGCTTTTTAAAATGTACATAAATTATCATAAATATTAAGCTACAGAATATGAAATTTAAAATGTCAGTCAAAACTTGAAAAAAAAAAATAATTGGGTAAGTTTTCCAAAAATGAATCTACTAAATTTCATATTAAGTACCTAAGACAAAAAAAATCATGTACTGTGTACCTCTCGTTTAAATATACGCAGAGCGACTATACAACGATTTGACAAAATCATATAATGCGATCTATTATATTATATAATATATACAAAAAAAACGAAGCCTTGGAAAACGTAAATAGGTAGATCACTATAACGCCTGGTAAATCAATCGACCTAGTATCAATAACCAAATAAATTAAAAATATAGGAAATACAAAAATATTATTTTATTCTATTTTATATTTATAATAAATTATTATAATATTAAGTCAGCAGGTAGCTGAGAAATCCAAGAATAATTCTAACAAAAAAAAAAAATAAAATATAAATAATTGATATTTGTCTCATCAGTCAACAACTGAAAAATAATACTTATTTAGTGTACTCTGTCGTTAAAGTTTAATTGTAATTTATCAATATAAAATTACTATTTCCTGCTTATGTACTAATAAATACAATTTTAAGTCGTTTTTGGTGAGCTGCCCTTGAGACTTTAACATTATTTAGTTTTTTTTTTAAATAAAGGATAACGTAGTTTAACAATTTATTGATATTACTTGTGGGAGAGATGTCGCTCTGCGGGATAATAGCTGGAATAATATCCAGAAGAATTGCAAAAAAACTGCCAAGCAGTGACGCGAAGATGGGACGGGGGAATAAAATCCCAGGGATAAAAGATTCATTGGGAAAAAAAGATTGATTAAAAAACTTTCTCAATTTCCAAAATTTTGTAATATTAATAATACTGTTTTATGATTACTTACTGTGCATAATGAGAACTATAAGCACGAGATGTATATTTTTTAATAATATTATTAACAATTGCAATTAGACTGACATTATGTAATTTGCAAGATACTCTCCATAGTAAAAATAATTAAATTATACCAACTATATATTATTAAAATCTAATTTTTTAGATATCCTGCTCAAGAAGTATAGAATTACTCTACACAATTCCACAAGACGTAATTGCTCTTGTTGAAATAGTATAATATTATGTTATATTTGAAAATTAAGGGGGCTGCACCGTAGCATATTTTAAGGAGTACTATTTAGGCAATCCATGTGACATATAAATTAATACTGTATCTGTGTGTGAGTAGTAAATGAACATTAGTGTGCGTAATCCGTTATCGTTTCCTAGAATCGATGCACGTCAAGTCAGGCAACCGCACCGGAAACAACTCTCACACGCGCACGCACATGTCAATACATCGCGAAAAATTAAATATTATATTCTTGTTTACATGACTATAAAAACTAGTAAATTAATCATGCTTCCCGAAGTTCGATTGTAATTTCGAAAAAAAAATGGTTGAATTTATAAGCTTCTAGACTATGCTTCTTAGGAATCACTTTTTTTTATTTAAAACCAGATGTGCCCAAAATAAATACAAATGTAATGCAATTATTTCATGGGATTTAAAAAAAAAAAATGGTTATTTAAAGGTAATTTTAAATTGAAAATTGAAAATCGACTTCCTAAGGAACCTAGATATTTTATCGATGAATTCAAACATTATACTGCTTGACATTTTATTAACATCGAATGTTCAACTTTATTTGAATAACATGTTTTTAATTGAAATAGATACAATATTATAAATTATAATGTGATGATGGCATAATACATTTTTGTGTAGCTAATTTATTTGTTTTTTTTCATAATCCTTTTAAATGTTACAATTATTTTCGTAGATTCTAAATAATATATATATATTCAATATTGTATTATAAATATATAATAAATGTATTATAATAATAATATTATAAATGTCTCACTAAAATTCGAAAAATAATATGAACCAATGATACAGAAAAGTAAAAAAAAAATGATGCGAATTGAATTCGAGAATGAAACCGATGGGACCGATTTTTTATTGGCCACGTGATTATTGAAACTATATTTCATCGGATACCAGTGACACAATGTCTATCTGAAACACTTGATTTGTTGGCCGTGCCGTAACTTTTACGAATTCTCAATGGCATTAGTAAGTAATATATTAATATTATTATAAGGACGGAATCATGGACGGTTTCTGCGTAAACAGTGTAAACAGTGTCCGTTTTATCCATACGCTGCCCGGCAAAGTAAATAAACATAATAAGTTACCTTAGACTGGTTAATAAATCTTAACTCACCGGAAATGAACACACGTATTATGAACTTGTGCAGAATGTATTGTGGTAGATAACGTGAGTTCACAATGTTTACATGAGCTACATGATTAATTATATTAAATGCAATACCTATGAACTAATGTCTATATGGCTACCCCTATATATTGTAAGGAAAATAACGTGTTGGTATTTTGATTCGATTTATTATTTCACGTTTATTTCACATACGTAATAATTCATTATACAGATACAATTTGGTGATGTGTAATACAGTATTTCTTTTGAATTATTATATTAATATATTATACTCTTGCGAGTGTACATAGAAAATAGTTTAATTACGGGATTTACATAAAATATTGGGGGGAACAGCATGAACATTTAACTCACGGTTTGTAGAATGGTATGTGGCGGGACGATGGTGGCAATGAGCATCCACGTACAGTGGCGCGATCACGGCGGCACGGTAATAATTGATTATTACCGGCGTGAACGGCTCGACTTTTGGTAAACAACAGTGACTCAGCTCTGCGTGGCGGTATGTTGGTTTTTTCGACTGGTTGAGTGCAGGACGGCAATGGCTCAGTTGATGTGACGGCTCCGTTGGTCTGCTGGTAACTGGTGGTTGTACGACGATCGGTTTCACGGGCTGCTCAACTCGGACGGTGGCGCTTGGTGACAACGGATGCGTGCGACAACGGTACAACTCGCGACTCACGGCGACGGTGGTGGAGCGTACGGGAGTTACCGGGCAAGACTGTAGAATGTCCGTTCTCGGCGGTCAAAAAAGACCGTCCGGCTCATTCAGTCTATGGGGTAGAAGCTGTTGGATAGATCCGGGATTACTGTCCGTTCTCGGCGGTAATAAATACCGTCCGGCTCACTATTCGCCTTCTCTCAGCGGGGACAGTGTGTGTGTTCTACGGCGGCCAGCGGCCTGTATTTATGCCATTCGAGGCTCGCTGGTCCCGTCTCGAATATTATCTGACACTTTGCGTGATTCGAGACTGCAGGTTATTGTTCAGAGTGTTTGGAGATTACCAGATTATGGTGAAAATAACGCTGATTCTGAATATGTTCGTAACGTTTCGATAGCTCTATTGGTTCCCACGGAAAACTCAGGTTTTCCGTGGGCGGCATGCGTTGTTTAATCATTGCGCGGCGGAGCGCTATCTGTGGTTTGAGGTTGCGGTTGGGCGGTCGACGTTTCTACGCGGCGGGCGATGTTTGACCGTGGGTAATGATCACAACGAGAGTGCGCCACGTTAATGGCCACACCGTTTTGTCTCATTACATTGTCCCCTTTTTTATTTATTATTTTTTTTTTGAAGATTTTGGTGTGAGGAGAAAAAAAAAAATATAAATAAAAACTTTAAAATTTTGACGCTTTGTGTTTGTGGTGTAGTGAATTATTAGTTTGCTGTTGTTATGGTTGATATTGTTGTTTCATATCCTTTATCCTTTGATTCTTCTCCTTGTAGATCTGTCTTCGCAGGCGAGTCTTGGAAACATTTTCAAAGTCCTTCAAGTAGGCTCCGACCTTTAGTATACTCTTTCTGATCTCTACCGGGGATTCTGGATGGCGGTCGATTAAGTGCTTTATCGTCATGATGATAACCTCTGATTCGGTTTCACTTAAATTACTGGACCGGGGCGACTGTTCTTTTTCTTCATGTGCAGTGGCCGGTGCTGCTTCCTGTGGTTGAGCTAGGGTGTGACATGGTGCTGGTCTTTGCTCCCAATGTGCGATAAAATCATCCCACGTCATCCCGGTGGCAGATGGTCTTCGGGTGGCTTGCATGGTGGGTGGAAGGCTCCATGAGGGTTCCGGGTTGTATCTAGTTCTTTTTGCCTCCTCCTGACGGTAGAACATGGCTATTTTGCGTCTTTCTTCGATGGTTAGCAGTTTGTCGATGTGGGTTACCTCCATTTTGTGCAAGGCCTTTCTGCTTTTTATTTTGGTCAATGGAATCTGTACGAACATCTTTCCGGTTCCTACATAGTGGGGGGGTATTTGTGTTACATAAGAATTTAAAAGTTTATTACATGGATTCACAAGCAAGTTATTTTGGACGACATATATATTGTTTTGTTTTGTTTTTTTTTTTGTTTAATTATTTGTTTGAGATACACCGCTCACGAGTTTGTAGTATCTCTTGATGTTTTTGAAGTTGATGGTTCGATGACTTCCATTGATTTGGATAGTTACCGTGTTGTTATCATGTACTGCTTGTATTTGGTATTGTCCGTGGTAGATCAGGAATAATTTATGGGTCTCCTTATCCTCAGCGGAGGATAACCTATGTTCTTTGATCAGGATCTGATCGCCCACGTTATACTGAGGGAATCGTTTATCTCTGTCTTTGTATGCGTTTCGCAGATCAGCTAGCTTTTTTGACCGTTTCATTACAATCTGTATAATGTCGGGTGGTTTCTTCAGGTCCTCGTGTTTAGGAAAAACTACCAATTTGCTTATTGATAACTTTGTTTTCTCCCCAAACATTATATAGTTTGGTGTATAACCAGTGGTTGTATGGGTAGTGTGGTTGATCCAGTATTCTACATTATCTAACCATTTTAACCAATTTGTATGTTGCTTATGACAGTAGGTTCTTAGTAGGCGGCCAATTTCACGATTTGCCCTCTCTACTGGATTACTCTCCGGATGATAAATCGTTGTGTGCAGGTTGGTGATTTTCAATCCTTGCATGACTTTTTCCCATTTAGTACTGGTGAACTGCGTTCCGTTGTCGGTTAGGATCTTCTTGAACAATCCAATTGTGGGTATGTACTCACTCACTAGTCGTTTTATTATGGTATCGGTAGTGGCTCTTTTTAACGGATATAGTTTGATGTACTTGGAGAACACATCCAATATTGCCAAGATGTATCTGCATCCTCCCTGTCCCCTGGGTAGCGGGCCCATTAGGTCGGCAGATACCATTTCCCTTGGTTCGGTGGGTAGGAGGCTTAACGTTGGTCCCCTAGCCGTTATATTGCTTATTTTCGCCTTCTGGCACAGATCACATGTTTTGATTATTTGCTTAATCGTCCGATACATGTTTTTAAATTGGTGGTCCTGCTGCAACAGTTTATATGTCTTATACGTCCCGCAATGGCCGTATATTTTGTGTGTTTCTTCCACCAGCTGTTTTACTGCTATCTCTGGCACCATGATCTGATAGTCACCCGAGGGCGCTTGACGAAACAGTAAGTTCTGATGTATCATGAGATTATGATTGGTCCTTTGCGTGACCCTTTGTTTAAGTTTCTGAATGTGTTCATCTTGTTGTTGTAACACTTCGAAGTCTTTGAATTGTTCTTTTAATTCCTTGCTGTATTCTAACAGCGATAATTTGTTGATAATGATTATCTTGTTGCTGGCTGTTGCGTCGTCGGTGTGTGACTGCGGATACCGGGTTAATGTGTCGGCACCGACATTCTCTTTCCCTGGAATGTGTGTTATTTCTAGCTGAAACTCCTGGAGAAATGTGGCCCATCTGACCAGTCGAGCATTGAGTAGTTGACACGTATTTAGGAATGTAAGTGCATGATGGTCGGTTAATATTTTGGTCTTATGTCCAAGTAAATAATTTCTAAATTTTTTACATGCGAAAACTATTGCAAGCAATTCAAGCTCCGTGGTGTTGTAGTTTTGCTCAGCTGCTTTTAATGTCCTACTGGCAAAACTGAGGGTTTGGTGTTGTCCTTCTTCCGTAATTTGATAGAGTTCAGCCCCAAGGTGAGTTGTTGAGGCATCGGTGTTCAGGTGAAATTCTCTCTTGAAATCTGGGAATTGAATTATTATGTCCTCGAGGAATTTTTGTTTTATGTTGTCAAAAGCTTGCTGCTGTATGGTTCCCCACCTCCATTTTGCATCTTTTTTGGTTAATTTACTAAGTTGTCCGGTGTCTTGAGATAGATCCCTGATGAATTTTCTGTAAAAATGTATGAAACCAATGAATGCTTGTACCTGTTTTTTCGTCTTGGGCGGCTGGAAGTTCATCACGGCTTGTATTTTATCTGGGTCCATAGATATCCCTTTTTCACTTATTATGTGACCCAGAAAAATCACTTGTTTTTTCAAAAATTGTGACTTTTTTCTGTTGATTGTGATGTGGTGTTGTGCAAATTTTTCAAAGATTTGTTCTAAGTGACAAATATGTTCTTGAAAACTCGTGGAAATGATGTGTATGTCATCGACATATATGGCGGCAAATTGTAGAATTTCCGGTCCTAATACTTGATCTAAGATTTTTTGGAACTCGGCAACTGAATTGATTAATCCAAAAGGTAATACCTTAAACTGATAATTACGGCCTTTGTGCAAAAATGCTGTAATTTCCCGACATTCGGCTTTTAGTGGACACTGCCAATAACCTGCCGTCAAGTCAATCGAGCTTAGGTATTTCGTTCCCTGGAACTTGATGAGAGTGTCGTCCATATTTGTTGGACATTCTCGATCCGGTATTATGACTGTGTTAATTTTTCTGGCATCTAGGCATAATCGAATCTCTCCATTTTTCTTCTCAATACAGACTATGGGTGATGACCATGGTGATGTTGATTTTTCTATGACTTGTAAATCTAGCATCCTCTGTATCTCGGCATCCACCTTAGGTATCCTCGATACTGGTATTGGATAGGGTCGCTGGTAAATTGGGTCCCCTGGTTTGACACGTATTTGACATTGAAACTCGGTAATCTTTCCAGGTTGTTCAGAAAAATGTGTTCGTACTTGTTTAACAATGATACAAACATTTGACTTTCTTGATCGTTTAGACTGACGTGGTCATTATCCAAGTTGTCATTAATTTCTACGTTAAGCAGATGATCCTTGGTTATTCTTGGTTCTCTGTTGGCGAATGGTACAGTGATTGGTATATTATTGACGTTGAATTGTACTGTCTGTTTGTTGAATTTAATTTGTGCTGAATATTTGTTCAATATGTCTGCTCCAATAATTCCTTTTTCATTTAGGCCTTCTACCTGAATGAAATTAGTCTGTAGGTAAATGTCCCCTATTTTGCATTCACAAAATATTTGTTTAGACACTTTGCATATCGTCTTTCCTACGGCGTTGCTAATTTGTATGCCAGTGACTGGGAACTGTGGTATTCTGGAATTTCTCTGCGTGACCACATCAACTACTTCCTTGGTGAGCACACTTACTGTGGCTCCGGTGTCGACCAACAATAGCATTTCCTCCCCTTCAATCTCACACTTTAAATACGGGCTTTTCGATGCGTTTGTAGCATTTAACGAGTTTACTGCATAAGTTTCACTGTTACTTGGTCCAGCTTGTGGGTCGGCGCTTACTGACACTTGTTTGATTTGTTCAGTCTGTGGTGTGCTTTTTTGTTGCGCTTCTCCACCTTTGTTGTTATCGTTTGGCCGGTATGGTTGGTTGTTGTTCCATCGATTGTTTCGCGGCTGAAAACTGTTCCATCCATTATTCCGTTGATTGTTCCAATTATTGCTTTTTTGTTGATTGTTATTGCGGTCCGTCGCTGTCTGTTCTGGTTTTTCGTTTGTGTTTTCTTCTTCTCCCAGAATTTTCATGGCAGCTACTATTGTCCTCTCAGGTAGTGATACAAGTATTGCTCTTAAGTACCCAGGATAATGTTTGGCAATGTGTTTTACGATTTCTGGTTCTGATAGTCTTGGTACCTCCAGGTGTCGCAATTTTGTGGCCCAGGTCGCAAAATGTTCTCGGTAATTTGCTGTTACCTGACTCACATTTAAGCATTGGCTCCAGACTTGAATTTGAATTTCCCTGGACCAATACTCATCGATAAATGTTCTCTTGAAGTCTTCATAATTGCATAATTGAAAACGCACCGTTGAAAACCAACTATACGCGTTCGATTTTAGGCAATCTCCCACGACAATGATTTTTTCTCCCACGTACGTTTGTTTAATGGCGAAATATTCCTCGAGTCGACTTAAGAAATCTCGTGGATGTATGTCTCGTCCGTTTCCAAAAAATGTAGGTCGTGCAATATCTGTGTGATGCAAATTATTATTATTTATACAGTTATGCGCTGGTGGTGGTGATGCTCGTTGTTCCCGAAGTTCATATTTTTGTTCAATTTCTACTAATTTTCTTGCCCAATTTTCTTCAATGTTTTCTATTTTACTGACGTAGTCTTCTTTGAGGCTTTCAATTTTCTGTAATAATTGATTTACTAAATATTGACTGTTTCGTTCTACTTCCTCCCTGAACGCGTTAAATGCTTCTTCCGTGACATTCTTCTTTGGAGCCATGTTCACGATGTAGTTTTTCTTCAACAAAATTGTCTTCTTTTTAAATCTCGTGGGTCGATGTAGAATTATTTTCTTACTCGAGCCCCACGTTGGGCGCCAAATGTAAGGAAAATAACGTGTTGGTATTTTGATTCGATTTATTATTTCACGTTTATTTCACATACGTAATAATTCATTATACAGATACAATTTGGTGATGTGTAATACAGTATTTCTTTTGAATTATTATATTAATATATTATACTCTTGCGAGTGTACATAGAAAATAGTTTAATTACGGGATTTACATAAAATATTGGGGGGAACAGCATGAACATTTAACTCACGGTTTGTAGAATGGTATGTGGCGGGACGATGGTGGCAATGAGCATCCACGTACAGTGGCGCGATCATGGCGGCACGGTAATAATTGATTATTACCGGCGTGAACGGCTCGACTTTTGGTAAACAACAGTGACTCAGCTCTGCGTGGCGGTATGTTGGTTTTTTCGACTGGTTGAGTGCAGGACGGCAATGGCTCAGTTGATGTGACGGCTCCGTTGGTCTGCTGGTAACTGGTGGTTGTACGACGATCGGTTTCACGGGCTGCTCAACTCGGACGGTGGCGCTTGGTGACAACGGATGCGTGCGACAACGGTACAACTCGCGACTCACGGCGACGGTGGTGGAGCGTACGGGAGTTACCGGGCAAGACTGTAGAATGTCCGTTCTCGGCGGTCAAAAAAGACCGTCCGGCTCATTCAGTCTATGGGGTAGAAGCTGTTGGATAGATCCGGGATTACTGTCCGTTCTCGGCGGTAATAAATACCGTCCGGCTCACTATTCGCCTTCTCTCAGCGGGGACAGTGTGTGTGTTCTACGGCGGCCAGCGGCCTGTATTTATGCCATTCGAGGCTCGCTGGTCCCGTCTCGAATATTATCTGACACTTTGCGTGATTCGAGACTGCAAGTTATTGTTCAGAGTGTTTGGAGATTACCAGATTATGGTGAAAATAACGCTGATTCTGAATATGTTCGTAACGTTTCGATAGCTCTATTGGTTCCCACGGAAAACTCAGGTTTTCCGTGGGCGGCATGCGTTGTTTAATCATTGCGCGGCGGAGCGCTATCTGTGGTTTGAGGTTGCGGTTGGGCGGTCGACGTTTCTACGCGGCGGGCGATGTTTGACCGTGGGTAATGATCACAACGAGAGTGCGCCACGTTAATGGCCACACCGTTTTGTCTCATTACAATATG